ACACACACACATCTCCTGCATTGTTCCCTCATTCTGTGGAAGTTTTTTGGCTCAGACACTTCCTGGAATGCTGAAGGAAGCTGGTTTCCACAGGGATTAACCTTATCTCCTCCAGGGGCTTGTGGGCTGGAGTTAACATGCAACAAACCATCAGCAGTGTGTATGGCTATGTTAGTAACATGTGTGAGCAGATTCCTTCTGAGATTAAGGAAAAGAGCATCTTTATAAACAAGAGTCTTAAAGTGTCCCATCCATCTCTCCTGTCCCCTAAAGCAGTTTCTCTCTGCTTTCCCAGTTTGGGGCTTTTCTAAATAAAGTACAGCTTAAAGAAAGGTTCGATCCCTGTTTTATGTTTCGGACAGGTGGCCTAGGCCAGGGTCTGGTTTTGACAGCTAAACAACAACAACAAACAACAAAAACAAACCTCAAAAATCAAAGAGAGCTGCAGATGCTAATTTGTTTTACTTTGTCATAAATAGTTGGAATTTATGGAATTTAACAGTCTGGTCAAAGAGCTGATACTTAGAGCAAGTAAATTCTTGAAAGCTTTTAAAATGAAACACAAAAATACTTTAAATGAAACATTGAGGAATACTTCTAAAGGAAGTGTTTTAAAGAATCACTAAGCATTTCATTAGTTCACAGAAGGCAAACTATTGCTTCTTTATATAAAACATATTGAGCCATAAGAAGAAAGTCTTAAGTTACAAAATTTTGCATTCACTGCATAGATTTAATAAGGATTTTCTTCTAAAACAGATATTATAAATAAATTAAATTTTATTCATTTTTCCCAAGAAGTCAAAGATAATAAAATGAGAGGATACAAAATGCTTTATGTCAATCAAAATGCAATATTTTAAATGCATTTTAAAACTAATGCCTAAAAGTCTGAATATGATCGTGTTGTGAGATTTTCTTTATGTATGTAGGTTATCAAGCATATATATATATGCTGATATATATTGTAGCTAGTCTTTCTCTGTCCCACCAGGTGGCTCCCAAATCATGACATGGAGACTTAGTAAGTATGAAAGCTAAGTCAATAGCTTAGGCTTGTTTTTAGCTAGCTCTTATAACTTAAATTAACCAATTTCTTTATCTATTAAAATACAATCAAAATGCCACTATAAGTGCCTATAATCCTTTCTGAAGTAAATTGGCGCTGCCAGGAGTAGACATATCTCACTGCCATGAAATGCCTGAACTCATGATGTAGACCAGGCTGGCCTCGAACTCACAGAGATCCTTGCCTGCCTCTGCCTCCCAAGTGCTGGGATTAAAGGTGTGTGCCACCAGTTTGTTGGGTTTATGAGGTACCATTTGTCACCTGACCGGGTGGCTGGAATCCTACTTAGTAAGTCTTCACCGTGTTTATACTTTGTAGCAAACCCCCTCTGTTTTTCCAGCAGTTTAGGGTTTACGTTGAGGCTTTTATCTATTCGGAGTTTAGTTTTTTGTTTTTGTTTTGCTTTGCTTTTGCTTTTGAAGACAGGGTCTCACTATGTAATTTTGGCTGGCTTGGTACCTGCACAGACCAGACTGTCTCATATTCACAGATATCCCCCTGCCTCTCCTTCCTGAGTGCTTGGATTAATGGTGTATGCCATCACACCCAGCCTCTGGAGTTTTTTTGTGTGGTGTGAGAGATTAAGATTCTAGTTTAATTCTTTAATATGTGGGCACTCAGGGTTTTTATTGAGACAAGGTTTCTTTACGTAAGAGCCACCTGACATGGGTTTTAGGAACTGAACTCGGGTTTTCTACATGGGCAACATGTGCTCGTAACCACTGAACCATTTCTCCAGACCTCTAGTTTCATCTTTAGAATCTCTTAATATATAGCATAATATCATCTGCAACAAAGGATATTCTAACGTATTTTTCTATTTGTATCACTTTTGTTTTATTGTCATATTGTTCTACATAAAAATTTCAGAACTATATGGAATAGAAGTGGAAACAGTAGACAGCCTTTTCCTGATTATGATTTGGGATAGGATTTCTTTGAGTTTTTTTCATTTAAGAAAGGATTATCAAATATGGATATGGATATACACACATATATATCAAATATTGACATGTTTATATATTTACATATAGGTAGTAGAAGAAGCATACCTCATATAATAAATAACATATTTATAAGTGCATATATAAATAAGGATTGTGGTTATGTACATATATACATATATGCATATATAATACTTTATTAAATGGAGGTATGCTCCTTCCACTATCAAAGGGTAGGTAGGCCAACACTAAGATAAAGCAACAGTCAAAAAGACCAATCACCCCTAAATGCTAGTCACTTTTGGAAGTAAGTGAACCTTGATAGTACTGTGTACACTAATATTAATCATGCACATTAATTACTATAGGTATAAGTTAAAGAAAAAAGTACAGCAAGACTAGAGGTTAGTCTTATATGGATAGAGGAAAAAAATAAAGGAGGAAAAAGTGAAGGGGAGGAATAGTAAAGATGAGGCAGCAAGAAAAGAGACAGATCTTGCTAATGTAGAATGAAAAGAGATAAAGAAATGTAATCAGTTAACCTAAAAGAGTCCTCTGTCTCCAGGAGCTGAGACAGGGAGGCCTCTAAACTAGGCCAGCTTATATTCTTTGGGAAAGCTTTTCAAAAGGAAAACAAAAAAGAAAATTATAGAAAAAATAAAAGGAAAGGTTGAGGAGTAAGGAGAAGGGGAGGGAGAGGAGGTGAGAGAGCCCACATGCCGGCCTGCGATATTGCCCATGTGTTTTAAAGGAAGGAGGAATCAAGGTGAAGGGGAAACAGTTGGATGGGGGTAGAGGATACGGGTGCATTTGGGCTGCTTGCTGACTCCAGTCTGGACTCTAGTTCTTCCCCACCTTTTAGATGTGTGCCACACCCCTGGACGCCTTCTGCAAGGCTAGGTCATGGAGGCTGCCCCTCTCTGGACTACTTATCACAGGCTGGGTCATAAATTCCTTTCACATCTTCAGGTTATCTACAGGGGTCAGATTTTGAAAACTGTTATCTCTTGCTGGTCCTTTGTGAGGTCTGCTCACAGATGCTTATTAAATGTTTGAATGGGGCAGAGAGGTAGTGGAGTGCACCTTTAATACTAACCCTGGGGAGGTGGAGGCAGGCAGATGTTGGTGAGTTCGAGGCCAGCCTGATCTACAAAGAGAGTTCCAGGACAGCCAGAGCTGTTACACAGAGAAACCCTGTCTTGAAAAACAAAAACAAAACAAAACAACAACAACCACCTCTTTGAATGGTCCTTCGGAGTTCAGCTGCAAATGGTGGGCCTGGAGTGGGTTGTCCCTCTGATTCTGGGCATGCTGCTTGGGACCTGTGGCCATGTTGCCCTGCAGACTGGCTCCAACCAAGTTCTATCTTGCCAAATACTGGACAGCTCCGATTCAGTTTCTCCTGCACAATCTAGGAGTGTTTGACTGGCTGGGTTTTAGTGGAGGGGCCCACAGCATGTGCTCTGAATTTCCAGAGAGTGAGGTTCAGCCTGGTACTGCTGATTCACCAGCCCAGCAGAAACCCTTTGAAAAATGGAATCTGTAACTATGGCTGACGATACTAAATTGCATAGTTCAATATAGCAGGAACCCTTTGAAAAATGAAATCTGTAACTATGGCTGACAATATTTAATTACATAGTTCAATATAGCTAACAGAATCTGAGCAGTCTAGGTAGCCTATTTTTTCTTAGACGTTTTCCTATATCTCAGACCAGCCTCAAGGTCATGACATAGCTGGACGATGACCTCGAACTTCTAATCATCCTGCCTTTTCCTCCACAGTGCTGCATTTTCAGGCTGTAGATCCCACCCGGGGTTCTGGGCATCTTAGGCCATCACTGTATCAACTGAAGTACACTCCACTCTGGAACTTGAATATTCTTAACAAAGTAAATGACAGGTGTTTGTGGTAGCCAATGAGCTGATCACTATACAGCCTGTGTGTGTGTTGAAAGAGACCAACAAAAATACCACTGTAACGTGACAAGAAGAGGGGGTCTCCCCTCTGCCACTGTTGTGTGCAATTGTCATCTCCTTCCCTTCCTTCCTTCCCCACCCAAGCCTTCTTTAAAATATCTGTTACTAAGAAGATTGGAATGCCAATCTTCTGAGACTCTCTGTTTTAAGTGCTGTTCTAGACGTTCCTCCCATTTGGGGCTATTTTTGAAGAACTAATTACATATGGACAGAATCTGTGGTTTGAGCTCTGGAGGAATCTACTTCAGCTGTTTCTTGCAGGTAGATGAACTATTTGACCCTGCGTAGTGTTGAGTTGCTTTGCTCAGTGCATTGTAAGAGTGTGGAATGTTTCTGCTAAATCTGCTGGGTTTTTCCTCCTTTAAATGGTATTCCCTACAATTTAGAATACCTTAGAGTTCATTAGACACACCATAGTTTCTCATATTGAAGAATAATGTAATCAGTTATTACAGACTGATTTATTAGTGATTGCTTATTTGCCACGTATGATTTCATTTGCTTCCTGGGGCACAACGACCCAGAGTAACGGCTGAAACAATGGGTCATTGCCCTTAACAACCTTCTGACTGTCAAGTACCCAGCCCTTGCTTGTTTGTCTACTCTGCCTTTCAGAGTTTAACATGAAAAAGCAAATTGGACCCAGGCGGAAGCCTTTCAGGAGCTATTCTGGCTTCGGTATCCAAGTGTTTATTCCGGAAGGATTCCTACAACAATGTGTACATGTGGTTTCCTCTCCCTAGAATGTTTTTTTTTTTTTTCTCTTCTAATGGAAAACTAATTTGTGCGTTGGCCCATGACAGCATGCAGTTTTTGCTCAGAATGTGTTAATGGAATGAATGATTATGAATGAATGAATGAATGAATGGCTCCTTCGTCTCTCCCCCAAGCAATTTCTCCCTTCCATCTAACTTGGAGCCTTCTAATGTACTTTTTTTTCTTTCTGTGATAAAATACCTGGTAAAAGCAACTTCAAACAGAAAGGGTTTCCTTTCTTTGGCTCGCAGCTTGAGGCATGGGATCCTGGTGGAGAAGGAAGAAGGAGGTACTTGAAGCAGCTGCTTATACTGTGTCTGAAGTCAGGAAGAAAGCGATGCACGCCTGCTGCTCAGCCCCCTCTCCACTTACACAGGTCCGGATCCCAGTGAGGCAGTCACTCACAATGGACGGATCTTCTCACTCAACAACACAATCAAGGTAATTCCCAAGGGGCATGCTGAGCAGCTCATCCCCAGGTGATTCCAGATTCGGTCCAGATGACCACACTGATCATCACACTGTCAAAAGTGTCAATCATTTCCCTTATACTCTCCCATTTTGCCTCCTTGGTTGCCTCTCTTCTGCAGAAAGAATCTTGATCATTGGTGCTATTGCCTGCCAGGAGAAGCACAGTGTCTGAAATGTAGCGAACACTTAACAAACTCTACCTGAATTGACTTGAACCTTTGTCTACCCTTGAATATCTGGCTATCTACTCCATCTGTGCCATTTAAATGTCCATCCTCCATTGCAGGCATCTGACACACGTGTTCTTGTTTCATACCATGTGATGTTCCTGTGTACTATTGCTACCTATGCAGTACCAGGAAGCATACTCCTCTGGTTATTATTTCTTTATCATTTTACTTCGTTTTATTTTATTCGAGACTGTGTAACCTAGGCTGGCGTCCAACTTACTATCCTTCCACTCCTGCCTCCTAAGTTTGGGGGTTTTAGGCCACTCCATGATGCCTGGCTTTATTTTTTGTCTAAATCCTTCTATTGAACCCTAATCTTCTAGTTCGTTTCAAGATCTAAAGAGCCTTTGGAAATGTAAATTATAATGGATGGTGTTTATCAACAACAAAAGCCTTATTCATTTCAGCAGCCTTTGGAGATCCCAGTTGGCTCTTTGCCCTGTGGAATCTCAAAGTAAGGCAAACCTTCCTCATATCCAGCCCTTTCCTGCTTAACGGAAACCTAGAAGCTAGTGCATCCTTGTATGGGAAGAGACACTTGTAAGCAGAGACTATGTTTTTGGTTTCCTGGCCACCCAGACCCGAATAATCACACAGAAACTGTAATAATTACAACACTATTTGACCAATAGCTTAGGTATATCTCTAGCTAGCTCTTACATCTTAAATTAACCCATTTCTATTAATCTGTGTATCGCCACAAGGCTGTGGCTTACTGGTAATATTCTGGCATATTTCTTCTCCTTTGGTGACTGACATCGTGTCTCTTTGACTCTGCCTATTCTCTCTATCTCTGTTTAGATTTCCCAACTGGTTTTGCTCTGCTAAGTCATTGGCTGAAACAGTTTTACTCATCAACCAATAAAAGCAACACATAGGCCAGGTGGTGGTGACTCACACCTTTGATTCCAGAATTTAGGAGGCAAAGACAAGCAGGTGGATCTCTGAAGTTTGAGGCCATCCTGGTCTACAGAGCAAGTTCCAGGATAGGCTCCAAAGCTACAGAGAATCTCTCTCTCTCTCTCTCTCTCTCTCTCTCTCTCTCTCTCTCTCTCTCTGGGGGGGATAGGGTTTCTCTGTAGCTAGCTTTTGTAGACCAGGCTGGCCTCAAACTCTCAAACTCACAGACATCTGCCTGCCTCTGCCTCCCAAGTGCTGGGATTAAAGGCGTGCGCCACCACCACTCAGCTAAAGAAACCTTCTCTTGAAAAACAAAAACAAAACAAAAGAAAAAGCAACACATATTCAGAAGGCCATCCCACGTCAGACAGTGAATGGCAGCCTGGATGGAGGTAGGACATAGCGCAGCAGTCATAAGCTTGGTCATTCGGAGCAGTAGGGTCAGGAATCTTCCTGGGTAATGCGCAGATTTCGCTGTTTTCTTGGCAAAGTTTGTGCAATTGAGAAGGGGAAGCAAAGAGGACGAGCAGAGTCCAATCAGCTGTGGGAGATGAGTTCCAGGGAGCTGGGAGATATTGATTATGTCGTAGCGCCACCACCTGGTCGTCCTGGGAATCTTCCCGCACGTGGAACATTGGAAAAAAGTGGACTTTGTTTTCTGCTTATGCTGTGTTAGATGCAATTGAAGTCACACAGGAAGTGCAAGGGCCTCCCTGACCCTGAGAGACTCAGTCCTCTAGATAACAGAAAAACCAACTTAGATTCTGGAGAGTGGGGTCTGTGGGGTCCTGAAACCTAGGCTTCTCAGAGACTTCTAATGAACATTCAGATTTAGTATTCCTGATAAAATATGCAAGAAATCCAGGAAACCCAGATCATTTGGAACTCATAGAAAAACCTCCTATGAGGACGAGATTCTTGTAGGTCTTATGAGAAAGCAGAATAATAATAATAATAATGAAAGAAAAACTGTGTCACAGTGAGCTTCTGGAGGACAGTTACGATCCATGGACGGTAGTAACATGCTACTTAATAGTGACACAACTAGCCAATTTAATTTCTACTCTGGATTCCTCTAGAGTAAATGAAATACTCTCAAATCTGTGCTTCTGATACCTCGTTATAATCATATTTCTCTTGCTTTTACTAAATCTATCACTAGGGACTTGCCAGAAGAATGGAAACCACTCCACCATCTTCCGAATTATGGACTTAATATAGATCTTGGACTTATGAGTCCTGGAAGGAAAAGCTAATAAGAAAAGCAAGAGAGCTTGAGAAGGAAAGCCTGGGGTGGGGGCAATGACAATATGACACCCAGAGGTTAGTGTCTGTATGATGTAATGGCCAGCCTCGGGGAATAAGAGATTAAAAGGGGAGACGACTTGTCATTAAAATATAGGATTAGGACCCTAGGCAGCCAATATTGGGAATGCCGAGCCAGCGTTGGCACCAATGCGGAACAACTGTTAGAACAGAAGGCGGGACTGTTGAAAGGCCATACCTGCTTCTACAAACACCAGCGGACATAAAAGAGGTGAGGACTAAGCAGTAGCTTTCCCTTCTTCTAGCGTTTAGTCAAAAGCCAAGTAGTATAGGCATTTGGGGAATGTAGCTACGGATGACAAACCCCAATAATACAAAATAAATAGAAGGTGCTCCTGGTGCTGAGGGAAACAGGTAGGTAAGGGGTCTAGGGAGTAAAATCAATCAAGACACAGCTCCTTCTGGAAGGCAAATGAACCTGCTGCTTTGAAGGTTCATGCATGATACCCAGGAGATAGGAATGCTGTAATATGTTCTAGTCTTATGATAACCACTTACTAGCTCAGACATGATGGGGAGAGTATTATGGCTGTAAAGTTTTGTACATAGCAGGTGATACAAAACTCTTCTTGTTTTTTTTTTGTCTATGTTGAGTCCATCCATTCATCCGTCCATCCATCCATCCATCATCCAAGCACCCAACCCAATCAATACATCAGCCATTCAATCTCAGTTGTCTATTCATTTTCATTCAGTCCAATCCATCAACTCAATCCACGTAGATAATGCATGCATGCACTCATCAACCCCCATGTGCTATTTCATCTTTCTAGTCCAATCCATTCATGACACATACATATATACATATATAAGTACATACATATATACATATAATCCATCCAACCATTTAACTAATCCATTCATCCAATCGATCCTTCAAATTCATTCATACATCTGTCCCATTAAATAATTCAGTCATCCATCCACCCATCTATCCATTCATCCATTTATCCATTTGGTTAGTACCTATTATATGCCAAGAATTTTGTTACTTTTTGGAGATTCAAAGATAATACCAGTCTTTCCTAAGTAATTTTCAAGCCAAGAAGAGATTGAACAACTACATAACTACAGAAAGTATTATAAGCAACAATCAGATGTCAGCGTTCACTATTACAAAAGCCTAAAGCAATCACCTAATGAAAAGATTTATTTTGGCTCACAGACATCATGAGAGTCTTTCTTCCTTCTTTCTTCTTTCCTTCCTTCCCTCCTTTCTTCCTCCATCCCCACTTCCTTCATTCCTTTCTTTCTTTCTTTTTTTTTTTTTTTTTTTTGTATTTTGAGACAGGGTTTCTCTGTAGTTTTGGAGCCCCTCCTGGAACTAGCTCTTGTAGACCAGGCTGGCCTTGAATTTACAAAGATCGCCTGCCCCTGCCTCCTGAGTGCTGGGATTAAAGGTGTGCGTCACCACCCTTACTTTCTTTCTTGCTGCCTGTCAAAGTACTTTCCCATTTTATAATTCTTGTAGAATATAAAAATACTTTCACATTGAACTTTTTTTTTACTTTTTTTCCTTTAATCAAACTTTCCACGGACCTTGTATATAATTCCTGCAAAAACACTTAAACTTCTGTTGTTTTTCTCTTTTGCTTTGTTCATATTGCTTTTGGGGGGTTGTTGGTTTGTTTTGGAAACAGACCCCCCCCCCCTTTGACCAATGACTTTCTTGATTCTCTCCTGTTTTTTAGACTTCATGATCTCACCATCCTGGAGACTGGTTATCCTGTGGGCATTTCTCTTTGCCTTCACATTGTTTTTTCAGCAGTACAGGGTTTTTCAGCTCTTAGGTTTATCTGTTTTTCTATATCATTTTTTCCAGTTGGTTCTTCTGATTCAGCCTGAGAGAATTTCGTGAGAATAGACATTGCTGGGAAAAGCCTTCTCTACTCACTGCACTAGGGAAAAGTTCTGTATCTTCTCAACCAGAACTACTTTTCTTCTTCTTCTTCTTCTTCTTCTTCTTCTTCTTCTTCTTCTTCTTCTTCTTCTTCTTCTTCTTCTTCTTCTTCTTCTTCTTCTTCTTCATTATTCTCCTTTTCCTCCTCCTCCTCTTTCCCTTCCTCCTCCTCCTCCCCCTCTCCTTCTCTTCCAACAGGGCTTCACTGTTGTGTCCTGGGCAGCCCTTGTGTCCTGGATCTCACGCTGTATAGCCAGGCTGGCCTCAAACTCACAGAGATCGCCTGCCTCTACCGGGATTAAAGGTCTGCACCACCGCTGCCCGGCTCATATTCTTCTTCTCAGCACAAGGTATTTAACAACTTGACTATACTCTCATTCATGTGTGGTTGATAGTGACTAGTGTTTCTCTGTGTGTCTTCAGCAGATCATCAGAATCTCAACTTTGATGTGTGAAGATTTTCCCCTTCAATTTCACTCATTCTACTGATTCAGTCTCCGGGATAAGGGGCCCAGAAAAAAAAAAAAACATGTTTAGCAAGTGCTCCAGGTGGCTCTGGTTGCATGAACACGTGAGACATACTGAGAACTGTCTTTGTTTTCAGCTCTGACACTTTTATTCTTTCTCCCTTTGGTGCTTTTGGAAATATTTTATCTTTCACAGCAGACTCTCTTGTCACCAGACATCTAGATGGGCAGTAATGATGGGAAGTTTGCCCCCTTGTTTCTGAAATCATTTTTCTTTGAATCAATTATCTTTTTTATATGTGACAGAGGTTTTCATTACCTATAATAGAAAGTAGAAAGCCATTTTTAAAAGACACAGCACTAAATAATTGTATAATTAGCATGTATCAAGGAGACAAAAATATTCCATTAGACAGTCTTAGGGAGAGCTCATAATAAACCAATTGTATAAGCTTTCTTCTTTTAGCATATAGCAAAATGCCTTCCAGGCTTGATGCTTTGTCTCAACATAGGCCGGAGGAGGAGAGCAGACATTGGTGTTCTACAGATGCTAAAAGTAAGGCTCAGGAAGACTAGAGGTGCTTGTGGAGGTCACACAAGGAGTTTATTGACGAACTGACAATGGAATCCAGGTTTATTGGGGCCCCTTTACTGGCTCCACCTCCAATTCATATTCAATATCAATTGATATTTTTGCTAACATGAACATATATGCACTTGCACACACACACACAGTGCTCCTACTCTTTGTAATATATTATAACATGGCATCGTTGACTATAGGCTCCTCCTTTGTACCCACTGTTTGTAAAGGTAATGTGTCATCCTTATCCAGACTTCTTGGACAACAGCTCAGCATTCCCAGTGAATTACATCTCACTCCCTGGGTGCTGCGGACTACAGATTGGGAGGCTGAGGCACGATGCCGTGGATCAGACAGCCACAATCCTTTCAAAGTCGACTGACACAGCAAGAAACAAGTCAGTTACCACCAGCCAATGGGAACGAGGCTGCTCTGGGTTAACTTCCCGGCCCTGAAATCTTCTCGGTTGAGAAACAACCAGCAAGCATTGACAGGAGTACCAGTAAGCGTTTCCAGGCGTGTGCTCCCATCCATGTCCACAATGAAAGGAGAGACTGATATAGTCAATTTTCCAAAATGACTAAACTTTCAAAACCATTTAGATTTGGCTTGGAAGCCATATTTTCTTTTATAATCCTTTTATTATATTCATTATTTTGCATGTGGAGCTGGGGTGGGGTGTGTGTGGAAGTCAGAGGAAGTTGCAAGAGAAAGTACTTTCTCCCCACAGGTAGAATCTGGGATGGAACACAAGCCATCAGCCTTGGTCACAGGTTCCTTTACCTGCTAACCCATCTTGACAACCACACAGCACATTTTTTAGATTTAGTATTTGGATTTTGGATTAATATATTTTGAGAAATTAGAATATTTTAATATGCTAATAATGAGAAACATGGCACAATAGCCTGGCTTTCTCATTCTGTCTCCTGATGTAACACTCTTTCTTCACATAAGCAGTAGTTGGTGATCTCAAATGGACAGCCAAACTGGACATCTTTTGCCCCATTACATACGTAATTATTGTATCTGCTGACACATGGCTGCCAGCCAGTAAATACAGAACACTCGAGAAAATTTTAACATTAGGTAAACATTAAGTTTAGCTTTAGTGTTAAATACTTAGCCTTAAATTATTTCAGATAAACTCTGATCATTGCACATTAAAATTATTCATGTTTTTGTTTGTTTTTTGCCTTTTTGCTTTTTAAGACAGAGTTTCTCTGTAGCTTTGGCTGTCCTAGAACTTGCTTTGTTGGCTGGCCTCAAACTCACAGAGATCCACCTGCCTCTCCCTCCTGAGTGCTGGGACTAAAGGTGTGCGTGCCATCATGCCGGGCTAAATTATTCATTCCTTGTTTGACATAAAATTTAACTGGAAAAATGTAATTTTATTTTTTAAAACCGGTAACCCAGAATGAAGATTAAATAAGATAATATATACACAGTTTCAGACAGGCAATAAATGTTCATTAAAATTATTTTGTTATTGAGTAATAACAGTAATAAATGTAATTTGTGTATGATTTGCCTGTTTCCAAAGCCTTCTTAAATTCATAACCTTGCTCACCCTCTTAACAACTGAGTTGTATCCCCTTACCAGGTGAGAAATTAAGCCTTGCAGCCATGTTCCACTGACTGCAGAGTAATCTGAATATTTACTGTGTGGGCAATCCATTTTATGAGACAGATGCGCTGTGTACTAGCTAAGAGGGTTGATGGACACACAATTTTAAATACTGCAGCCACTGTAAATATTATTAAATGAACATCGGTTTCTGTGGCTTTGATGTTAGTTTATTTTGAGACATCTCCTCTGTAGCCCTAGTTGGTCTAATACTCATCATGTGGACCAGACAGGTCTGTAATGTGCAATATTGCCCCTGCCTCAGCCTCCCATGTGCCTGGATTGCAGGTGTGCACCCCATGCCTGTCTGAGCATTTTTTTTTTTTTTTGGTTTTTTGAGACAGGGTTTCTCTGTGGCTTTGGAGCCTGTCCTGGAACTTGCTCTGTAGACCAGGCTGGTCTCGAACTCACAGAGATCCACCTGCCTCTGCCTCCCGAGTGCTGGGATTAAAGGCGTGCGCCACCATCGCCCGGCTGAGCATGTTTGTTTTACAATTGCACCGTGAGTCCCTTTCACCAGAGACCATGGCTGCTTTCTCCTCTGTTTTCTGACCGAAGGACTTCTAAGGAAATATTTTATGAGAAAATCAAACTTACAGATTATTGCTACATTTTTCGAATAATAAAAGTAATAGCAATGTTAATTCCATCTATAGTGAACCAAGCTTATTCTAGATGGTCCATATTTACTAATATTTACTAGTTTGTGAAATGGATAGTGTTAGCCCATTTTCTAGATGGAGGAACTGTGCATAGGGATCAGTCATTTTCCTATCTGACTATTTGACTAGTATATAGTGAGCCTGGAGGGTATTTTCAGGGTCTGGATCAGAGTCTACTCTCTCTCTTTCTTTTCTTATGTATACAGTGTTCCTCCTGCATGCCAGAAGAGGGCACCATATCTCATTATATGATGGCTGTGAGCCACTGTGTTGTTGCCTGGGAATTGAACTGAGAAACTCTGGAAGAGCAACCAGTGCTCTCGACCTCTGAGCCATCTCTCCAGCCCTGCATTCTTAATCGTTGTCCTCCTCAGCCTCCAGCGGTGAAACACCAGCTCTGAGAACACAGGTGTCGGGAGTGTCCTCATGTATAGGGTCAGTGTGCTGCCTCTGTGACTAGCAACCCCAGGCAGCCGCTCTGGGTGGCAGTCTCACTGGAACTTTTGCCCCCTTACCTGACAATAAAAAGAATCCAATAGTTCTTTTAAAGTTTAATCTATTTCGTTATTATAACTGGGACTTTTTTCATATGGTTAAAATAATATTTCTTCTTTGATATGGTAAATATTTACAAATGTGCCCTTTGACCTGTGAGGATTGAATGACTACATTTTTATTTTCATTTCTGGAGTAAAAAGTCATTTGCTTGCTCTTTGGGTTAGTGCTTGAAACTCTTGCTCAGTAGTTCTCAAATTTCCTAATGCTGTGACCCTTTAACACAGTTCCTCATGTTATGGGGACCCTAACAATAACATTATTTTTGTTGCTACTTCATAATAGTAATTTTGCTACTGTTATAAACTGTAATGTGAATATCTGGTGTTCAGGAAATCTGCTATGCAACCCCTATGAAAGGGTCAGTTCGACCCCCAAAGGAGTCGTGACTCGCAGGTTGAGAACCACCGCTCTAGCAAACGGTGTTTAGATACAAACACAGAGAAATGTGTCCGAGTGTCCCTTTGTGTCTTCCTCCCTTGCTCTTGTGTTTAGAATGAGAAACACAGATCCTAGTCTAAACTCAGTAATGTCCTCTACGGCTTTCCAAAGACTCTACCCAGGAAAAAAAGCGTTTGGACACCAACCTCTGAAGACTCCTTCGTTCCTTCAAGCTTGAAATATTTGACACCTAAAGGTATAGGTTAATTTTTCCTTTCTGAGCCATTCTACTTTTCTCTGTCAACCTGATCCTTTTGTCTCTTTGGTGCTGGGGCTCGAACCCAGGACCTTGGACACACTGTGTCACTGCTCGGCCTCTGATCTACATGCCCAACCTGTTTGCACCTTAACGCCATTCCCCAGAGAGGAACCTTTTACATCACCTTCAGGAACAACCTAAGCTTTACTAACATCGTATCTGAGCACACTAAAGAAGTACACACACCACTTTGTGTGTGCATGTGCGCGTGTGCAGTGGTGCATGCTTATCCCCACATGCTCACACAAAGACAAGAGAGAACATAGAGTGCCCTCTTTATCACTCCCCTCTCAAGACAGAGTCTGTCACTGAACTTGGAGGTAGGCTGGCAGCCAGCAAGCCTCAGTGTTCCTCTAGTCACCAGGCCTCACAGCATGGGTTACAGGCGCATGTGCAGCCACACCCAGCTTATTCTGTGGGTCCCAGGGCTTTGAACTCGGGTCCTGGAACTCAGAGCAGGTGCTTTCTCCCAGTGAGTCGTCTTTCCAGTCCCACACAAAGATGATGATAATGATATGATGATGGTGATGATGATGATGATGATGATGATTTTGTGGTTTTTCGAGGCAGGGTGTCTCTGTGTAATAGACCTAGCTGTCCTGGAACTAGCTTTTTAGATAAGCCTGGCCTTAAACTCACAGAGATGTACCTGCCCCTCTGCCCCAAGTGCTGGGATTAAAGGCATGTGCCACCACTGCCCAGCAAGAAAACCAGTTGTTAATCCAGACTTTCAGAACAGCAATAACAAGGGCTTATGCTTGGTCCTGTGCTTTAAGCAAATTCCGTCCCATCTCTCACAAATGCCCCTGACCTTACAGCACAGACTCTATCTCTCCTGCACACATCAAACTGAGATGCTGCCGTCACTGCTACTGAAATCTCAGCCAACACTGGAACCTTGTTTTTCTAACAGAAGTTGCTGTGACTTTTTTTTTTTCACCTTCTCCAAAATTTCTTGTGAATGAAATAGTGCCCAAAAGGGGAGCTAAATACCTACTAAATGTTTTTGCTGTCAAATATTAGTGTTTCTAGAAGGTTCTGGAACTGTCTCATACCTGCCTGTCTGTGACTGGTTGAGTGAATGCTTGAGGCGTTCATCCCACCTGCACACAGTCTGAAAAGGTAAGGAAGCCACACGTGCCCATCTTGTCGCTGCAGAAGTAAGCGTCTCTTCTCAGAGGGCCTTGCATGACATACAGCACTTCTCATGGCCTCATAGGATACAGAGCTGGATACCGTCTGGTTATCTTTTCTGCTAGCCACAAGATGGTACCATTGCACAGTCTAGAGAGAGCATCAATCAACAGAGACCCTCTAGTGGATGCAGCTCCTGTTAAATGTCCCGCAGAGGAGCCTTGTCTTCATCGTCCACAGTATAAACATATTGCTCTCATTCCCCACCGAAAGGCTGGAAATGCCCATGTCTTGTAACTTGACCTGTTTTGTTTCTCTCACCTCCACCACATCAGGATTCTGTTTTGCTTACTGGAGCTTTAGGATTGCCTTCACTTCTACTGAAGTGGAAACTTGTCATTTGAATGTTGGGAGTCAGTGAGGCTTGACCGAAATCCAGTTACCCTGTAGCCTGTGTGTGGTCCTTCCCTTTCAGAAGGGGCTGACTCTAGGAGGCATGGGAACCAGCTCTCCGAAAAGGATCTGAAGTTTATTTCTGCAACATGAAGAATGACTGAGAGCGGTATGTTTTAAGATCCAGCAGAAAGAGTGGACGGAGCATCACTTACAGAAATGGAAAGCTGGAAACACAGTGGTAAGGAATAGGGTGGAATGGCCACACTGGAGACATGCTGCTCCAGAAGACACCAACTCAGAATGTCTTATCAAGTGGGACAATGCACAAGACATATTGTTAAATAAAAAAAAACCAACATCACAAAGCAGTACATTCAATTGTATGTATGTGTTTCTGGGAGGGATACAAAAAAAGGGGGCGA